AATCCAAAAATATTTAATAATTCATGAGGAATATTTCAAATAAACATGTCAAAAAAAAAAAAAATCCATAACTCACAATGCCAGAAAACAATTTTTTTTTTTCTCCTTTTTGTCTTTTTTCCTGACCGGCAACGGGATCGCAACCCTCTGTGTCATGCCCGTACCGGGGACCAGCAACGGGATTGCAACCCTCAGTGCCACGCCCACACTGCACTCAGCCAGTGAGCCGGAACCGGTCTCCACATGGGATCCAAACCCTCGGCGGGAGCACCGCCGCACTCTCAAGCAGCGCACTCTCCAGTGCGCCACCGGGCCAGCCCATAGAAAACAATTTTAATTAAACATAATCCCTCCCCAAATATTTCTCAATATTGTAAAATGCTTAAGGGACAGAAGTTTCTTTGTAAACATCTAAAATGATAAATCTGTGTCAAAAGTATAATATTCAAAGGACTCTGACCTTTTGTGCAACATACAAAAATCAAAACAATATATCAGTAACAGTGAAGACCTAAATCTAACAATGATGCACTTTTCCCTAACTACAATGAGCCTTGTATTCTCACACAGAACACTGTTATGATATGAGCAAAGGCCAAGCAGTGTGGGCCGAGTAATACTAACTCAGTCTGTGTTGTTTTTCTGTGCTGCAAACTGAGACACAGGATAGTACATTTTGGTGTGAAATTAGAAACTAACATTAATCAAGAATCTATATGTGAGGTCAGCACTTTCTGTTTTAATTTGCTATTTAGAACTTTAACATAGCGTTGCATTGCACATATCCCTCCTTATGTCTAAAGAAGAGCATTTGCAAAAGTGTGCTCAAAGTCTCTAAAAACTGTATCCGTGTGCGTAGGGAGGGGCGGGAGGCATCAACCTGATAGGTTTAGAAATGGACAAACTTGAATTTTTTAAAATATGCTACTTATGAAATAAACGAATAAATACATACCCTTGAGGAGACAGTTTGTCTAGCCATCCTGATTTAACCTTCCTTTCAGATGATCCATAAAAACAGGCATAAGGAGATATTGCACTTGAGGAAATCACTGATGTATCGGCATTTCCACTTGTTGAGCTTAATGGATAACTGTGCCTATTAATGGGGTCCAAATTCACTACTTTCTGAGTCCTGGATTTCGATGCCTTTGAATTTTTTCTTCTTAAACTATGAAAGCATTCTTCTACTGTTGAGTATTCTGATTCAGAAGCAGAGTCTATCTGAAGATTGTTTTTGTCCTGTCGAGGTATCCAAATATCTTCCACTTTTTCTTCACTTATTTTCTCCTTCCTGTTATCATATATGCTACATGGAAAGAATTGGCATTAACATTTCAAAGAGCTATATGTGATTTATGCTGTTGGTAACTTTTTGTTTTTATTTATAAACAACCAATCACAGAAATTTTAGGCCAGGAATATCTTAGAATTCTATTAACCCATCTGATAATTTTTAAAACTCTTCCAGAGAAATTAATAAAAATATTTTATTAACCTATGACATATTTGAACACTACTAGAAGTTTTTTTCTTATGAATAATTTTATGTTGAGGGGTTTGGGTGCATGTGGTAAGGCTGGAGACTGACCATAACCTTGGCATCACAATTTAAACACCTTCAACAACACAATTAACTCCCAACCTCTATTCTCTGGGAAACATCATGAAACACTAACTCATCTGTTTGAAGGTCTTATTTCTAACTTGTTACCCCTTCTTTACTGTCCTCTAATTGACTCCAAGGACCCCATATTCCACCATAATGTAATAAAACAGAGGGACTGTACGTCTGACTGCCGAGAACATCAGTGTTATTTTGCAGTGCTAATGAGGAGAAAAACTGCAGCACATTGCTGGCTAAAATACAAGAAAGGGTCAGCATACATTCAGCAGGTAAAAGCCGTGAATGAAACACATTCATAGTATCTAAGCATATTCCTATAGATTTAAGGAATGGCACAATAGATCCGCTCAGTCATTTATGTAAAATAAAACTCTGTACAGTACAAGGAAGTTTTTGCTAATCAATGAAACAAATATGCCTCAGGGTCAAATTACATTCTTCTGTAGATAGTGTTCTAAAAATCATTACTTCCTTAAAGAATAATTTAACCTGGCCCTTCCACATTCTGTATTATAATAGATTCTTGTCAGATGCTTACTGAAGATACTCATTAATTTAGTTTTAATTTAAAGAAATCTATAACAGTGTCAGCCTTGGAAAATGAAAGATAAATAGAAATTAAAAAGAACATCAGGTAATGATCCAGTATGCCAAGTCCCAATAAAGCTGAGAGATAAATAAAATTTAAATTGGTGCCTACAGATTCTGTTTAACTTCATGTGTGATCCAAATATGTGGATAATTGTCATGTCTGTTGTCAATGCTGAATCTCTAATAAAAAGGATATATTACATATGTAAAATTCTGCAACTCACATAGCAACATTTTGTACTGCCCCTTCCTACTTAATGTTAACATAATTTCTCATCTTAAAGGTGCAATCATGGTCACCACACATTTACCAGTTTGGGGAGAGGGAAAATGACAAAATTAGGAAAAGACAAAAATAATCTGATACAGAGTATCATCGTCTACTTGATTTACAGATTATAATTCAATTATTAACATATGTACCGTGATGGCAACATTTCAAAATGAAAGATTTGAACTTACTAACGAAAACTATTTTCTTGGAAATACAATACTATACTATGGGCAAGAAGTCAACATTTCATAATATTCTACTGTAACGAATTAATCATTAGTCATGACCTCATACCTTGATTTGATGAAAAAAGAGTTCCTTGCTGTAGGTGCTGCCCCTTGGAGTGTTTCTTCATTTGTCCAAAATTCATTCTTTATACATCTCTTCTATAAAAAAATAAAAAATACACTTATTGTTTTGCTTTTTGGTTTGGGGATTTTTTTTTTTAGTCTAGCAATATTTTACAAAAATCCACAATATCTAAATTTAGGTTTATTAAACAAATGTCTAATTGCTTAGATCAATTTTCAGTAAAAACAATATAATTAGGGAGACTATATGAAAAAGGCTGCCTTTTTCACTTCTTTATTAAAATTATCAGTAACTCACATCATATCAACTAAAAAAAAAATAAAGATGCTAACCAAGAACAAAATTTATGTACTTTTACTCCTCTGCTGTATTTTTATCTTCCGACTTCTCTTTTATCAAGACCAAGAATAAGATAGCAAAGGAGCACAAGTACCAAAGAGGAAACACTGACTGATAAACTGAATAATTTAAATATATAAATAATTGGAAGTCTATACATTTAAAAAGTCTGCATTTGGGTAAAAGGCAAAGCAAAATCTAGGAAATTTTTGTGTTTTATGGAGGAGTTTGTTTTTTTTTATTAAAGTAACTATCTTATAAATTTTTAAAAGTCACTAGCCTATGTTCCTAAAACCAAAATTAAAGTGTGTTTTTATGACACATATTTAAAGATATAGATTTACCATAATTTTAATCAACAGAAATTTTACTGACTGGAAATTTCATTCTTCACTATAATGTATTCTTCAAACAACTTACAGGAAAATGAAGAGGCATATATAGGCAAAAAACCAAAGAAATGATATGGAAGAAAAAAACTTAAATGTATGGGACTAACCTTGGAATTTTCTAGTCTCTGGAAGAGAAAGGTCTCTCCATAAGGAAAGATGGAAGATGAATTCTCCTCATTTGAATCTTTTGGGGAATTATAGGATGAGAATGGAAAGATGTGCGATATTGTTAAAAAAAAGAAAAGGGAAAAAAAAGCACATGCTTAATTATTTTATAGCAATATCACAACTTAAGCCTTATTCTGTGAGAGTCCAAAACTATGTTCGTAATTCTTAAAGCTCCCCATGGTCTTCCTGATATAGCTCACACCATACACATCCTTCACTTCACAACCATGACATGTGACTCAGTTTCTCACATTTTAATGTTACATACGTTCTTGTTAACCTTTAAGATTCACATTAATAAAACCAAGTACATTTCCCACATACAACCTAAATTGTCATGGTACCACTTATGATGCTAATTCCTAAATAAGAGACTAATCTTAATTCTATTAGAATTTTCAATTTTCAATAATTCTATGAGATTTCTATGAGAATTTTCAATTATAAAAAGCTCACTTACATAACAGGTAGATATCACTCAAAATCCCAGAATCCACTTAATTCCTCTAATACCATAGCTAAAACACACCTCTAAATAAATTATTTTATAAGAGAATTTCCACCATCCGTGAATTATACTAATCTACAAGAAAGAATTCTCAACACTTGCAGTTCTGCATGTTAAAATTTTAAAAATGTTTTAAAGGTTCAGTAGCCAAGCATTTGCCATTTTATTGTCAAGAAAAATGTTCCTGAACTTGTATAAGCAGAATTTTCAAAAAGAAAGCAAAGCCTCTGTCAATGATCAATTTACCAGAGCAACAATGCCTGTTACCATGGCAAAATCACTTTCCATATATCTTTGTCCTGTAGCTCAGACTGTCAGAAACCATTTAATATAGTTAAATGCCTTCGACTGTGGTAATGATAAATGAAGCCTGCATTAAAAAAATCTTTTTACATAAGCATGTGCAAATTTCCAGGAGTCTGAGTGTATATTACTGTCTTTTATTCACTCATGATTAAAAGTGTCTGAAGTACAACAAATAGTGGCGAACAGTTATTCCCATTAGTCCCTCTACCACAGGTGGGCTGCCTTCTCAATCACAATTTTAACACACTTAACACTATCAAATTGAGTGCTAACTAATTTACAGAAACTTTAAACTCATAGACTCACTCTGCCATGTCACAGGTTTTCCAGCTGAGGTAGCAACATTTCTTCTCTCACGAAAATAGCTTAAAGCAAAGGGGAAAATGGTTATGAGTTATTATCATGAATAAAGGATTTATTATAGAGATATACATTCCTTCAGGTAGAAAACTAATATTCAAAAATAAATCTGATGTGAAATAAACAGAATGACCAAATTCTGTTGTGTGTTTTTCTATGCAGCCTTAAAGAGATTTCATTGGATTTTATAAGTGTTTGCTTCTGACATCTATAATCCACAAAATTAAATGAATGTATTTGCTCAGTGCCAGCATGCACATAATTGCAAAACCGCTAGCCATACCCCCCCAGAGAAACAAACTTACTAACTAAATTTTTTTGTCATTAGCTTTATAATATTGAGTAAAAAATGTGTCTGGCTCTATGAACATAATATGAAAATACACATAAGCCCTTCTTTCAAGGATTTTACAGTCTTGAGAGAAAATATTGCAGATAATTAATTAGAATACAACATGAGTTCAGTGATGACAAAGGTAAACACTGTGCAGAAGGAAGACCTACCACTATATATAAGAGTTCTATCTATTTTTCCATCTAATGGTAAGGATCAGGACATACTTAGTTTCTCTTAGATATATATCTGCCCAAGTAACTAGAAGCAAGGATACAATAAAGGTAAGAACAGAAACCAGCGATATAGAATATGGACAAAACTTAAAAATCATTGTAACCAAAAGCTGGTTCTTGAACAAGCTCAATAAAATTGACAAATATATTTAAAAAAAAAAAATAGAACAGAGACAGAAGAAATTATCGATATCAGAAATTAAAGAAAGGACATCACTACAAATCCTAAGAACATTAAAGGGAAAAGTATGGAAAAAAAAAAAAAAAATAGAACAGAGACAGAAGAAATTATCGACATCAGAAATTAAAGAAAGGACATCACTACAAATCCTAAGAACATTAAAGGGAAAAGTATGGATTATTAAGAAACACTTTATCCTAATAAATTCAACAACTTAGATGAAATGGGCAAATTCATCTTAAGAAACAAAAATGATCAATTCTGACATGATTAAATGCAAACTTTTAATAGCCCTGTATCTATTAAAGAAATTAAATTCAGTAATTAATCAACTAGCTCCAGGCCCAGATATTTCACTGGTGAATTTCACCAAACATTTAAAGAAGAAACAATTTCAATCTTACAAAACTGTTTTTGGAAAATAGGGGAGGAGGGAATACTTCCCAACTCATTCTATAAGGCCAACATAACTGACAGCAAAACCAGTCAAAATCATAACTAAAGATAAATATTCCTCATGACACAGATGCAAAAATCATTAACAAAATATTAGCAAAAAAAACCACAACAATATATAAAAAGGACTAGGACGATATAATTAGGACTAGGTGAGACTTACTACAGGAAAGTAAGTTGGTTTAACATTTAAAAAAATCAATGTCATTCACCATATTAACAATATAAAGGAGAAACATAACATGATCATTACAATAGATTCAGAAAAGACAAATGACAAAATTCAACATTCATTCATGACAAAAATTCTCAACAAACTAGGATTAGAAGGAAACTTCCTTAACCTAGTAAAGGGCATTCATCCACATTATTGTTAATGATTAAAGATTGAATGGGGGGCTGTCTGGTTAGCTCTCTTGGGAGAGTGTGCTGGTGGTAACACCGAGGTCACAGGTTCAGGTCCCCGTACTGGCCAGCTGCCAAAACAGAAAAAAAAAAAAGAGTGGTTTCCCCTAAATTGGGAGGTAGGCAAGGAGATCTGTTCTCACCACTCATGTTAACATTATTTCAGAGGTTCCAACCTAGGCAATAAGACAAATGAAAGAAATAAAAGGCACTCAGATTGGAAAGGATGGTACCTTGTAATGAGAAGGTATTTGTAAGTGGAAAATCCTAAAGAATCTATCAAAAATCTTCTCAAATTAATAAGTCAGTCCCAGGATAAAGAGTAAATATAAATATATTCAACAGTATTTCTATATGCTAGCAATGAATAAACAGAAAAAATAATTTGAAAATATAATTCTTTTACAGCTGTGCTATGGCTTCAATGTCCTGTCCAATACTCATGTTGAAACTTAATCCCCAATTTAGCAGTATTGACAAGCAGGGCCTTTAAGAGGTGATTGGGTCATGAGGGTTCTGCTCTGAAAAATGGATTAATCCATTCATATATTAATAGGTTAATAGATTAATGAGTTATCACAAGAGTGACATTTAGTGGCTTTGTAAGAGGAAGAAGAGAGAGCCAGCCTATAGAACTGTAAGAAATAAATTTTGTTTATTTATAAATTACCCAAGGCTGGTTGGTTAGCTCAGTTGGTTAAAGCACTGTACTGATAACACCAAGGTCCAGGGTTCAATCCCTGTACCAGCCAGCCACCAAAAAAAAAAAAAGTAAGATAATGATAAATTGCCCAATTTCAAGTATTCTGTTATAAGCAACAGAAAACAAAGACAAATAGCATACAAAAACATGAAATACTAAAAGGATAAATTTATTAAAACGTGAATGAGACTTGCACACTGAATACTATAAAGGATTACTGGGAAAAATAAGTCCTAAATACATGAACAGATATACCATATTCATGGACTGGAAGACTCAATATTGTCAAAATGTAAATACTCTCCATATTGATATATAGAGTCTACACAATCCCAAACAAATTACAGTGGGCCTATTTTATAGAAATTAACAAGGTGACTCTAAAATTTTCATGCAAATACAAATGACCTAGAATAGTCATATTCTTTAAAAAAAAAAAAAAAAGACAAATTTGGAAAATTTACACAATTTCAATATTTAGTCCCAAACTACAGTAATCAAATCACTGTGCCACTGGTGAATGGATACACATGTAAATCAATGAAATAAAATAGAGTCCACATATACTCCTACACACCCATCATCCACTGATTTTCTTTTAAAAAGATTCCAAAAAAAGATTCCAATGAACAAAGGATAGTATTTTCAATAAATGTTGCTGGGAGTGGATATCTCAATGGAAAAAAAGAAGTGAAATGAATGTCAACTCTTATTTTATACAATATACAAAAATTAACTCAAAATGGAGTTTAGTTAGACCTACTTAAATGTTAATGCTAAAACTGTAAAAATTCTGGAAAACATAGAAGAAACTCATTGTAACTTCTGAATAAGTAAAGATTTCTTAAATAAAATACAAAAACCAGGGCCGGCCCGGTGGCACACTGCTACAGTGTGCTGCTTGGGAGCGCGGCGGCGCTCCCGGGTACGGGCACGACACTGAGGGTTGAGATCCGTTGCCAGACACGAAAAAAGACAAAAACAGGAAAAGAAAAAAAAATACAAAAACCAAAACCCATAAAAGAAAAAAATTGAAAAGCTGGACCTTACCAAAGTTTCAATCTTGTAATGTCCCATATTTCTGACAAATGACTCGATTTTAAAATGGACAAAAATCTGAACAGATATGTCACAAGAGAAGCTATATGAATATATGATACCACGATACACTTACTGGAATGGCAATTTAAGACTGTTGGTACCAAGGATGGGAGAATATGTGAATAATTAGAACATTTAAACACTGTTGGCTGGAGTATAAAAGGAAGAGTGCATCCACTTTGGAAACTGCTAGGAAGTTCCTTATAAAGATAAACATCCACCTAACTTAAGAGCCCAGCTATTCCAATCCTAAAACCCAAAAGAAATGAAAACATATGTCCACAGAAAGACCTGTATACAAGGTCTCACAGCAGCTTTAGTCTCAATAACCAAAAACTTGAAACAAACCAAATGGACATCAAGCAGTAAAAGATTTTAAAAAAAAAAAAAAAAAAAGGTAAATGGAACTAAAAGAATATTACCTTGAGTAAAGAAACTAAAAAGAAACAAACTACCAATAAACATAATTATATGAATAAATCTCAAAATCATCATGCTGAGCAAAAGAAGCCAGACACAAAGAAGTACATTCTAGAGGGACAGGCACTGGGAAACTCTTAAGGGTAACAGAACAGCTCAGTTTCTTGACCGTGGTAAAAATTTGATGGGTTGACATCTTTTGCAACTCATCAAATTACATGTTTTAAATAGTTACAATTTACTGTACATATACCTTAAAAAGAATTGTTTAAAAATAAATTTATCGAATGTACTATTTATAAGGTTGACATATAAAATATCAACTCCATTCCTAAATATCAGCCAACAAACATTAAAAATGATGTCATAGAGGACTTCTGATCAAGATGGCAGAATAGACTATACCCAGTGTCACCCTCTGCCACAATCAACCAATTTACAACTATTAAAAAGCAACAACTGCCAAGCTGGGGCTGCTAGAGCTCAGGGGAAGAGGAGGAGAGACCTACAGAGTTCATAAACGTAGGAGAAGCCATAATGAGAGAAGAAAGGACCACTCTGTTTCAAGCCCCAACCACATCAAGGCTAGCCCTGGTGAGCTTACAGAGCAAGAGCTGGCAAAAGCTGCTGCTGTGCCCTTCATATGAAGTTGCTTGGGGACTGTAGGGGAGAAGACAGCCTTGGTGGCTAGCAGGCCAACACCACTACTAACAGGTTTCTCTTGGATACACATAGGAGTGAAGGGTCACAGACAACTGAAAAAAGGAGCCATTCAAAGGCTGGTGAGTCAACACAGGGGACTGGCACATGGCCTGTCCCATGGGAAGTGTTTGCAGTGTGATGAGTTGGGGAAATGGGCCCACCAGGTGAGCACTGGGGCACAGCATGGGTAGCTGATCTGCCCTCCAGTCAGCATAGGATCACTCAGTGTAGACTGGTCAGGAATACAGAACTGTAGGAGGTGCAGTTTGCTGAAAAGACTCAGACCCAGACCAGAGTTTCCACACAACCCAAGTATACCAGACCTCACAGGACCCAGAAGTGCTTACAAGGTCAACAATTAAAACCTTAGCTGCACAAAAAGCCTTCTCCAGAGAATCAGCAGCAAAGCAGCAATTTAGCTCAACCACAGGGCTCAAGTGCTGGTCCCCACAGGAAGCTCCCCCATT